TGCCTGGGATGCCTCTCCAATCAATGGGTGCAGTTACCTGTTACATGGGAGACTGCCTGGGAATGCCTCTCCATCAATGGGTGCAGTTACCTGTGACATGGGAGACTGCTGGGAATGCCTCTCCAATCAATGGGTGCAGTTACCTGTGACATGGGAGACTGCTGGGAATGCCTCTCCAATCAATGGGTGCAGTTACCTGTGACATGGGAGACTGCCTGGGAATGCCTCTCCAATCAATAGGTGCAGTTACCTGTTACATGGGAGACTGCCTGGGAATGCCTCTCCAATCAATAGGTGCAGTTACCTGTTACATGAGAGACTGCCTGGGAATGCCTCTCCAATCAATAAGTGCAGTTACCTGTGACATAGGAGACTCCCTGGAAATGCATCTTCAATCAACGGGTGCAGCTACCTGTTACATGGGAGACTGCCTGGGAATGTCTCTCCAATCAATAAGTGCAGTTACCTGTGACATTGGAGACTGCCTGGGAATGCCTCTCCAATCAACGGGTGCAGTTACCTGTGACATGGGAGACTGCCTGGAAATGCATCTCCAATCAATGGGTGCAGCTACCTGTTACATGGGAGACTGCCTGGGAATGCATCTCCAATCAATGGGTGCAGTTACCTGTGACATCGGAGACTGCCTGGGAATGCATCTCCAATTAATGGGTGCAGTTACCTGTGACATGAGAGACTGCCTGGGAATGCCTCTCCAATCAATAAGTGCAGTTACCTGTGACATGGGAGACTGCCTGGGAATGCCTCTCCAATAAATGGGTGCAGTTACCTGTGACATAGGAGACTGCCTGGAAATGCATCTCCAATCAACGGGTGCAGCTACCTGTTACATGGGAGACTGCCTGGGAATGCATCTCCAATCAATGGGTGCAGTTACCTGTGACATTGGAGACTACCTGGGAATGTCTCTCCAATCAATAAGTGCAGTTACCTGTGACATTGGAGACTGCCTGGGAATGCCTCTCCAATCAACGGGTGCAGTTACCTGTGACATGGGAGACTGCCAGGGAATGTCTCTCCAATCAATGGGTGCAGTTACCTGTTACATGGGAGACTGCCTGGGAATGCCTCTCCAATCAACAGGTGCAGTTACCTGTGACATGGGAGACTGCCTGGGAATGCTCTCCAATCAATGGGTGCAGTTACCTGTTACATGGGAGACTGCCTGGGAATGCCTCTCCAATAAATGGGTGCAGTTACCCGTGACATGGGAGACTGCCAGGGAATGTCTCTCTAATCAATGGGTGCAGTTACCTGTGA